ACAAACAACAAACAAACAATAAGACACACACACACACACACACACACACACACACACACACACAGACACACAACACAACACAAACCACACACAACAACACACACACACCACACACACACACAACAAGCAACACACACACACATACACAACACACACACACACACAAACACACACACACACACACACACACACAAACACACAACACACACTACCACAACACACCACACAACACACACACACACAGCACACACTACACACACACACATCTACACCACAAGGACACACACACACACGCAACACACACACACGCACACACCACACACACGCAACACACACACACAGCACACACACACACACACACCACACACACACAACACACACAACACACACACAGCACACACAAACACACACACAATTCACAAACACACACACCACACACACAAATTAGTAGTACGCTAAAAGTCCTACTTAAGACACACACCATTCCCCAAACGGGTTTTCAAATATAGAGACATGTTATCATTATTAATACGAAGGAAAGGACAAGGAAGAAAAGAGAAATAACGACATTCCATCCCTCTTTTTCCTTGTTTCTTCCTCCATCTCTTCGCCCTCTCCTCTTTCTTTCCTGCTTTACTTTTTTTCTTTTTTTTCCGTCTTTCCGCTCTTCTCCTCTCTCTCTCTCTCTCTCTCTCTCTCTCTCTCTCTCTCTCTCTCTGCTCTGCTCTCTCTCTCCTTCATCTCTCTCCTCTCTCTCTCTCTCCTCTCTCTCTCTTTCTCTCTCTCTCTCTCTCTTCCTTCTTCTTTCTTTTCTGGCTCTCCCTTTGCTCCATCCTTGCCCTCTTTCTTCCCTCCTTCTCTCTCTTCCTGCCTATGCGTTCATAAATTCTGCACTTCTCGTCCCCTCTCTCCTTCCTTCTTTCTCTCCTTTCTTCCACCGCCTCGCCCTTTCTCCTACCTCCCCCCTTCCCGTCCCTCCCTTCCTCTTCCGTCCCTCCCTTCCCTCTTTCTCCCCTTCCCCTCCCCTCCTTCCACCCTCTTACTCTCCGAAAACTCTCCCCCCTCATTCCCCTCTCCCCTCTTCCCTCCTTGCCAGTGCCCTACTCCCATTCCTTCCTCCTCCCTTCCTCCCTCCTCCCCTCCTTCCTCCCCGCGCACTCCCTCCTCCCTTCCTCGTCCCAGCCCTCCCTTTCACGCCCTCCTCCCCACCCTCCTCCCCTCCTTCCACTTTCTCCTCCCCCACCTCCTCCCTTCTTTCGACTCTCCCTCCTCCCCATGCTTCCTCCGCCTCCCTCCCATCCCTCCTCCTTCCTTCCTCCCTTCCTCACTTTCTTTCTCTCCTCTTCGATACGCTTCCCTCACTCCTCCCCACCCTCCTTCTCTGTCCCATTCCTCCCCCCCACCCTCCCACTCCTCTCCCCAATCCCTCCTCCTCCTACCTTCTCCCTCCCAAGTTCCTCCTCCTCGCCTACCACTTCCCCTCCCCGCATCCTCCACCCTCCTCCCTTCCTTACCCCCCCCTCCTCCTCCTTCTCCTTCCTTCCCCTCCGCCTCCCCCTCCTCCTCCTCCTGCCCTTCCTTTCACGCCTCCTCACACCCTCCTTCCTTCTTCCCGACCTCCCTCCTCCTTCCTTCCCCTCCTCCTCCCTCCCCCTCCCCCTCCACCACCATAGTCCCTTGCCTTCCCACCTCCTCCCTCCCACTCCTCCCCTCCTTCCTTCCCTCCTCCTTCCCCCTCCTTCCCCCTCCCCTCCCCCCCTCCTCCTCCCATCCCAACCCGAGCGACGCCCTCGCTCTCCTCGGACAACTCGCACTTGGAGGCTCGTTTCTGGCAGGCGCGTCTCGAGTGGTACTTGAGCCCAATCTAGAGGTCGTCGTCGTCCCTTCCCTCCCTCCTCCCTCTTCCCCCCCTCCTCTTCCCTTCCCTCTCCGCCTCTCTTTCCCCTCCCTTCCCTCCTTCTTCCTCCTCCTTTCCTCCCTCTTCTCCTTCAGTCTTCTCCCTCTCTTCCTCCCTTTTCCTTCTTCCCCTCTTCCCTCCTTTTCCTCCATCTTCAATCTTCCCCCTCCCTTCCCTCTCTCCCTTTCTTCCCCTCCCCTCCTTTCCCTCCCCCCCCCTTCATCCCCTCCCTTCCCTTCCTCCCCCTTTCCCCTTCTTCCCCTCCTTTTCCTCCCTTCCTTCCATCCCTCCCTTTCCCCCCTCCCTTCCCTCCCACCCCCTTCGTCCAAACTCTTCCTCCCTCTCCTCCCTGGCTGAGTCCCTCCCCTCCCCCTCCCCCCCCCCCTCTCCCGGACACAACAACCACCGGATGTAGTTAGAAGGAAGAGAGAGAGGGTGGGAGGGGGGGAAGGGGAGGGGTAAGGGTGGGGAAGAGGACGGAAAGGGGGAGGGATGGGAAGGGAGTGAGACAGCAAAAGGAGGGAGAGAGAGAGAGAAAGAAAGAAAGTGAGTGATGAGAGAAGATGAGAGTGGAAAAGGAAAGTGGGAACTAGGGAGGGAAAA